AAAAAAATTGTTTGAGATTTTCATGGTTATTGCCAAATAGTAAATGTTGATGCACTCACCTTGAGGATGTTTTAGGAGTTTTACCGACTGAACTGGTGGCAGATTTGCAAGACTTCTTGGCAGGTGTTGCTCCATCTTTACACTCCTGCAGCACTAAAGCTGTCTCAGCCTTCAGGGCAGCTCGGAGAAACCCTTCTGCACACTGCGAACAACAAGCATAGCACATATTGTAAAGAGGGAAACACTGTATGGATATCAAAAGGATAATTTAAAAGGAAACACAAAGAACAGAGTTGTACTTCAGCTTGATTTGCTGTCCCCACGGTGCATGCTAGTGTCCCGCAGACTTCGGTGACCCGCTGCCTCCTAAGCAACGCGGCGCTCTCATAAACTGGTGCTACAGATAGCGAGAAGCTAAACAGCAGGCAAAGTGACTCGGTCACTTCTACACCTAACTTGACGCCAGCTCCAGCAAGAGTGCAAACACACTCGAACATCTGTGAGAGGTGGATGGGCTCAAAGTGTGAGTGAGAAACATACGATTGCTGAAACACGCAGCGGGTCAGGCTTAACAGCTCTCCTTCATAAGCTTGCTTCTCATTTATGTTTGCTGTGGCAGAGTAGGAATGTGTTTCCAGCAACTGGAAGTAGGCTGCAAAGAATTCGTGGCCCTGCATCTCAGGAAATCCTCTGAGCTCCACCAGTGTTCTCAGCATCACCATGGAGGCCTTCCTCAGCCTGGTGTTCCCGTTGGACAGGATGAAGCATGCAGCTTCCCAGGCTACACTCAGGTCATGACGGGAGATGACTCCCCTCAGAGACTCAGTTATGATGTTGATCGTTACGGCAGTCAGCGACTCCAAGGCAGCAGGTGAGGAGAGCACAAGGGCAGAGGGGGTGAGGTATGAGGAGGCACAGAGGGGGGATAAACTGAAGCACTTGAGGTTTATAGGCCACTGGTTCTTTGTGTGAATGTCCAAAACATGTCCCTGTCCTGCAAGTGTGCAAATATGTGCATACAGGTTATGGCTGAGTTCCTGGGACAGAAATATGAGTTCCTGAATGAGGAAATTAAAGATAAATGGTGCCCGGACTCGCAAAGTGTGAAATAAAGAGCACAACACAGCAGAGACCCGTCCATGGATGATATCACAGCCTGGAGCTGCTGCCACACGAAGGAAACGCACCGCCACCCACTTACTGAAGTCTAAAATCAAGACAAGGAATGAGAAGATATTAAAGGACAAAACTAAAAAGGAAAAACATGTTCAGCTTTATTTTCTCTAATCTCTGAAATCACTTATGGCAGCATTTTGAGAAGAATTTCCTACCAGTGCAGCTCTGTGTTGTTTCTGGGTATTCAGCAGGCTGACAGGCAGGGTTGGCAAACATCAGAGATGAAGATTTAACTATGTGCTGCACAAAGTCCAGCAGCATCACACAGGCTGGCTCTGAGGTGGACTTCTTACTTAGCCCTAAAGCAACTGCAAGACAAGACAACTGCTTTGTTAAAAGAGCTGGTACACATACAGAGGATAAGTCAAATATTCTTGCAATATTAACTTGAAAAGTCACTAAATGATAAAAAGCTTAAAGATACACACTGATTTAAACTCCAGGTACAAGATTTATTCAAAATAATCTGAGAAGCCGAGCCATCATAAATTTAAACAACAGCAGCAAGAACACAGAAGCAGACACAGGTTTATATTAGCTGTACTTTTCCTATCTCTAGTCACACCCGATGTGCCCTCTTTGTGTTTTGGAACTTTGTGTTTGCCGAACAAACACCTGCCAGCAATGTGAACTGCTGTTATATCACCTTCATATTCCAGGGGAAGTTACAGGTGTAGGTGTAGAGTAAGGGGCAAGATTCGTGCAAGTGCGGGGAAGACAAAAAACTAATATGGTTTATCATAAACTCTGCGTACGAGATGTAACAAAGGTAAAGATAAAGGAATTAAGGGAATGATGGAATAATGTCTGATGTGCACACATGAGCTTGTTAGAGTTTATATTTCATATCATCAAAAACATTTTAATATTAGACAAAGATAACTCGAGTAAATTCAAAGTGTAGTTTTTAAATTTTAAATTCATTTAATAAGAGAAAGAAAAACTACCCAAACCTACCTTGCGCTCACTGAAACAGTAATTCCTCCCTTTTTAAATGATGAATTAATTGTGATTTATCACATTGGTTGAAAGCTCAGTTTAATTTCACAAGTAACACCCAGACCTTATTACTGCCATGATGGCTTCTTGAACAAGAAATGCCTTAAATAGAACCTATCTGAGGTGAAGTAGGTTAAAAGAACTCAAAAAGCAACACATCATGTCAAGATCTAAAGAATCTGCTGAGAAAGTCATTGACATCTATCGATCTTGAAAGGGTTACAAAACCATTTCTAAGGCTTTGAGACTCCAGTGATCCACAGCGAGAACCATGAGCCACAAATGGAGAACGCTTTTAACAGTGGAAAACCTTCCCAGGAGTGGACAGCCAACCAAAATTGCTCAGAGTGTGTATCAACAACTCATCCAGTAAGTTACAAAAGAACCACGAATAATGATCAGTGATCCCACACCCACCAGGAAGTCTTAAATGCATAAAAAAAAACCCATAAAAATCAAAGTGAAAGTTCTGCAGTGGCCTAGTCAAAGTACAGGCTTAAATATAATTTAAATGCTTTGGCATGACCTTAAACAGACCGCTCATGCTTGAAAAACTTCCATTATGGCTGATGTTATGTGAAAGACTTGTTGCAACTTATCACCAACACTTAATTGCAGTTCTTCCTTTTAAGGTTGGCACAACCAGTTATTAGGTTTAGGGGGCAGTTACTTTTTCACACAGGTTTAGATAGGTTTTTTTCCCTATTTTTATCATCATCATCATCATCATCAATCATCATCATCATCATCAATCTTTATTTATTTATTTTTAACAGGATTTTTTCAGGAATTTATAATTTGCATGTTACATTTACTTAGGCCATCTCTGTCTATTTTTAAAATTTGTCTAATGATCTGAAACATGCACGTTTGACAAATATACAAAAAAAGGGAAAAGAAATCAGCGAAGTATATTAACAAGAGGGAATAGTAGTCATGGTAAGCAACAACTTCAGGGAATGTTTCAGCAGATAAGTCTGACAGTGTGCACCAAAAAGCTGTTTGTTTGTTTTTTATTGATGTCCTTTCAGAGGCTTTTATTATGGTGACCACCCCTAGTATGTGTCGATATTCCCGGCTTACCGACATCCACATCTGTCAGTATCCTGTCGATGAACTGGCAGAGAATCTGTCGAGGTTTCTGTACCACCTGGCCGTACTCTGCAGCGCTCGCACTGCAAATATCAGCACGATGTTATTCACAGAGACATGACGAAGCAAAGGTTTTTATCGACTTCAATAAGTAAAGACGAGGACTCACTTTAGCCCAAATAAGTGGTACTGTTAACTACTTAGCTCTTAGCCAACTTTAGCCGTGTACTCACCTAGCTAGCTCCTGAAGAGCCGGTATCATCGCAGACATTTCCAGACCTTCCATTTTTAAACTTTTTGTGTCGCTGTTCGATAAAACTCTTTAATACATTAATATATGGCTCTGTCTAATCATTTTAACCAGTACACATCTCCACGTCTCCTTCTGCCTGTCAAGTCTTTCCAAAACTTTCGCTCCAAAATGACGTTTCTGTTTTGATACGGAAACCAGCGAGGGTCTATAAACTCAAACAAAACGCAAACTAGTAAATGCTCCCTCTGGTCGCTAAAGTAACGTTAAAGTATGTGTTTTACGGCAGGAAAATGTTTTTAAAAATTGTTTAAAAAAATGTTAATAGTAAAGGTACCACAGGCCCATAGTAAAGGTCTTAAAAAGTAGGTAGGGTAAAAATATACACAGCAGTGATTTTTTAAAGGAGAAGTAAAAAAGGTGAAATAAAAAATCTAATTGAGACTGTGCAAAAGAGTAGTGCAATTGCAGTAGTAAATAATATGTAACAAGAGGGTATAATACAAAACAGTACAATGTAAATATTTGTGAAACTGTGTATGCCTACCTACAAATGTGTTACTTTACTATTCATGAGGCATTTGTATGTATTTTGTGATTAGAATTTAATGTATATCTTAATTAAGTTGCTAAATTCAAAATTACAATAGAATTCCTTAAATCAGTTAAATGGCATTTATATAGTACAAAGTCACAACAAAAGAAACATTAAAACACTTTATATTGTAAGGTAAAGAAACTACAACAGAACAAGAGAAACACAAGTGTTTCAGTCCCTTTATTCACCATGCAGCTTTTTAAAAACACTTAAGATGTATAAGATGCTTCCCCCTATCTAAAGGGGAGACTGAAACATATTTGAATATGGGTAATAAGTAAATAAATAAATAAATAAATAAATATCAAGTAATGTCAGTTTATTGTCACCTCCCAAGTTTTTAGTTATGCTCATTTTAGAAGCTATGTAGAAAAGCCAGATTTTTGCTTTTAATGGCTTTTGATTCAATTATATTTCATGCACTTCTGAACTAATATACATGTTATAACCAATTTGCTCTTTACTTGTGTTTTGATACAGAAAAAATTCACAGGTACTTTGTACATTTGATAGATTCTCTTTATTAATTAAATAGCAATATTCAATGCACAACATTTACAGACATAAAATGTATTTGACAGAACAGATGTGTGTATAATTCTGCTTTTTCTTCTGCCGGATCTCTGGCTCATATTGCAGAAGAAGTAAATAGAATTGGTTAAGTTTATTAAAGCAAAGAACAATCTTCCATAAAATCACGTATAAAAAAAATAATCTTTATTGATGGAAAAAGATTTACAGCTTTCTTTTCTTGCAAACGAATAATAGAGAATGCTAGACTGTTTTTGTTTTGTACGCACGGCAAGGTTAAAACTTAAAGAAAATTTTTAAAAGTAAAATACAAATATATTTTTCCATCTTCATTCAGTGTTAGTTGTGCCTACTTCAGTTTTTGGCTTTCTTCATACCATGCCCCATGAGGCAGGCAAACACAGTCATCACCATCTTGGGGTTGACCTCCACCAAATCATCAGGCAGAGCGTAGACACGAGCGCCAATCTTACGAGCCAATGAAATTGCATACCTAAGAGCAGCAAAAAAGGAGAGAGGAGTAAGGAAATTAGAAAAGAGCGAAAAATCCAAAGAGGTTGGGAGTTTAAAAACGTTTTTTTTTCTTACTTGGCATTGTTGATTTTATCATCTTTCTTCAGCACTCCATTTTCTCCTCTTGCCACCACGGGAAACTTGACCATCCCCGGAGCAATTACATCAATCAGGTCAATCACTGGCAGGCTGGTGCTGATCAGCTTGTCCTGCAGAAAACAGGAAAAAGGGGTTTAAAGCACACAGTCTTTTGATATCATACCATTTCACAAACAAACATACACACCTTGAAGCTGGTGATTTGTGTGTCCTTTCTATTCTGGCTCAGCATCTTGTTGACCCAGTCCAGGATGATTTGATCTACCACCCTCTCTCCATCACCCAAATCAGACAAAACTTGAATTGTGTACCTGGCGGATTGTAAGAAGTACAGGTAACTGAAACTATACAAGGAGCAGCAGTCGCCAAAGCATGGACTGTCTGTTTTCACCAAACAATATACTACAGCAAGCAAAACATCCTGCAGCTCTGCGTGCACATACCTCCTCATCAGCTGCCAGACCAGCCCTAAGGTGTGTACACGACTCCCCTCGTTTAGATTTACTCCTCCAATTCCAACCAGGGAGAAGCGGGCGACATCCCTGCCCAGCTCCACAGCATAGTTACAGTTTTCCAGCTGGGATACAGGGAAAAAAACAAAACATCTCTCATATTTCCCACTGCTGTGCTTTTCCTGTCATTGTCATTGTGACAGCTCTGCTTGTTAGCATCTAGTACCTTCTTCATGTTGGCCCCCAGAGCAGGATAAGGAGGGCGGTTGACTTTCTTCCAGTTCACAAACACATTGACCTTATCATAAAGCTGCAGAATCACCAAGCCGTCACACAGGTCACTGGATAAAAACAATGACACAGATAATGGATTTCAATAGAAGAAGAAGGAAAAAAAAAGACCACCTCTGAGAACACTTAGAGCATGTCATCTCTATTTTTGTTGAAATATGGACTTTTAGCAGCCTTAGGGGGAATTCATGTTTTACTGTGCTTTAAAGCTAACAAATAGTAATAATTACACTTATAATTAAATAAGGGATTTATTATTTTCAATGCTGTCTGCATGAGGAAAGCGTTAAAATTTAGGATATCTAAGCCCATATCTTACTCTTGTGGAGTCTTCAGTGAAATGATAAATGAGGACACATGCTAATCCATTCTCACCCTCATTAAATGAAGCCGTGAAGTTGATTTACAGCTCCATTCACCCTAAATAACTGATATGGTCAACATGATTATGTATAACTGATGACATACTGGTAAAGATGGTGCACATGTGGAGAAACACCCAGAGAGTTCATCCAGTTGCGAAATGTTTTTTCTTCTCTGGTCTCCCCTAGAATGATATGAAGACATCATACATGTTATCATACAGTTGACTTCATCTATAGTCTGGACGTCTGCCACAAACTCAAGCACCTATTATCATCTCTGGCTTATTATTGGTCTATGGCATGTATAACTAGCATAGCATTACGTCTGTTTTCTCCATGCTCATTTTATGGCTAATATGCCTCTATGTACTGTACATTTCAGCATTTTATGACTCTGTCGTGTAATTGTAAGGCCAAGATGTAGTGGTGGATGTATCTCACTCTCTATGTGCTCTAAATCGCCTCCATTCATCAGAAGCTTCTGCAGACCGGGGTGCATGTTGAACAGGTTAGCCACAAAGGCCATGTTCAGTTTGCTGTTTCCAGATGTGACATCATGAGGAGTAACAAACTGCCTGCATTCCAGTCTGGCTGCCTGCTGCAGCATCAGCTCCGCCCTTTTCTCCAAATCCCACTCCTTCACAACAAACACACACAGAGACATGTATGCATAGAAGAACGGTATAGACGCTATGTAAATATGAGAATGTGAAGAAAACAGGTTAAAATGACAAACAGAAATGTTTATCTTTACATTTAGCTTTATTTATTAGTTTCTCATTGTTATGTGAAAAGTTTGTGGCTCACATTGAGACCGCTCATGTCAATTTTTATCCTCATTTGGAATTCATCCTCCTCACAGGAAGTGATCTGATCCATCAGGTGGAAATAGGCCCGTGAGTCCTTCGGTGGGAGAGTACAAGATGAGGTTACTGATGACTCTGTATTCACGTGTGTGTGTATTTATTCTGCACGGTACCTTGATGTCTTCGCTGAAGTTGCTGATTGTTTCCGTTCCAGCGTTGCGTAGATGATAGTTGACCCAGCGGAGCAGCAGCTCGTCAGGGGAGAGAGACATTAGGTGCTCCAGTGATTCTCCATCTGCTAGGAGGGCAATCAGACCTGAAAACACATAACAGCAGTTAATCAACTGTTAAAGCAAGAAAGAGGAAATTAATAAAAAACTGCATTTTTACCTAGAAGCAGCAAGATACTCTCAATTAAAAGTAATACAGTTGTGGTTATGCTGGTAAAAGTAAAGAAGACACGCAAAAGAATTCACTAATTTGTTACAAAAAAAGCACAAAAAAATCAAAAATTTGTAACATATTTTTGTACCTAGAGGCTGTATGATTACAGATAATATAGTATGACATATAAAAATAAAATCAAATAAAGCACCAAATGCTTACAGAATGCTTAGAGAAAAGAAACATAATCATGAACACTGTTATGGGCACTCTGTTATACAGTTTTAACCTAACAAGCTCCACTGTTTTGCCTAAACCTTTACATTTCAAACCTCTCCTGCATGAACTGCATCACATATGGGTGAGCGCTGTAAATGTGAAGTTTTGTGTTTGCATGCAGGTGTGCGCTGACCTTCGTTCCTGCTGATTTCTATGTCAGCGAAGAGGCCAATCTTGATAACCTGCCAGAGCAATCCCAGAACCAGGTGGGGCTTTCCAGCCATCAAGTCATGGGCATCCATGCTCACCACCGTGCACCCGATAGCTGAGGCTGAATTCAGGGCCAAGACCAGATTCTCCTACAAACACACGTTGCATCAAGATTTTTTAATTCAAAGTCTGAAACACTCTCATGTCATACAGCAGTGTTTCTGTTGTTTTAAAAGCTCAGCGAAAATAAAGACTACAGATTGAACCCTGCAAATAATAAGAAACTAAGCAGAAATCAGCAGAAGCTGAAAATGGAACTGCTGATGAACAAATATCATCCAGGAAGAAGTGTTCATGAGATATAACACAGCAGAAGAAAAAGAAGAGGACGATGCAGTAAAAAGTTAATATATTACAGGCTTTTTTGCAAAGTCCAACATTCCGGGAGAATCAGTATATTCAGAATAACACAATAACACATTTACTACCTATCGTCATCTCAGTTGACATCCATATGTTCAGTAGAGGACTTATCATGTGCCAGCTACAGTAAATCTAACCGAATACATTCAGGTCTTTTAAAGTAGTCGTGTCTTAAATGAGAATTTCCCTTTACTACCTTCTTCTTTCTTTTTACTTTTTAGGTGCAGCAAAGGTCATAAGCTGGCCTCTTTTAAAAAAAAACAACAGCAGACTCTTTTAGTCTGCACAGAATCTGGCAACCTGAGTCCGCATTTAGTTAACAAGCTGATGATATAGTTTTACAGATGCTCTCAGCTAAAATTTGGCAGAAATTGTGCAGCTATTTTTTTCTTTGCAAATAACATGGATTGGTGATATGAATATATGTATTTACCCACTCACTCAGAACTGCTACTTACTCTCATATGAAAGGTAGAGGGTTTCCTAGTGTTGATGACTCTTTCATCAATCGTGTCTGGCTGAGAATGGTTGATCATCTTGCTGAAAGAGATTTTTATTTTTTAAACAAGTAAAAGAATGAATTGATTCTGAATCTAGTCTAAGATAAGTATAACTTAGGGTCAGATTTGGGCACTGGGTAGTCACAAGTTTGATTCCTGACCCTTTAGTGCTCCCAGTTCCCCCTTTTTATATCCAGCATTTACTGTTTATAACTGCCATCTGATAGTTCACTTGCTATCTTTCGTCTGTGAAAGTGTAAAATAAAGACAAGTGTAAAATACTTGTGCAGACAAGTGTAAAATAAAGAGAAACCCACTGAGAAAATGTGAGCAGGAAGGCGCTCTGAAACACTATAAAACAATAGTAAAACAAGATTACACCGTTTCTCTTTTAACCTTTGCTACAACATAAAAGTGCAAAATAAAAATGTTTATAGAGGCGCTTATTCTTGGTTGCCTGTGTGCATGAGCCTGTGTTAATACCATAAGAGGATGCCATCACGGACAGAGGTAAAGAGGCTTTCATCATCAGGGTCCATGGGCAGCAGATGTTGGCAGTCTGGATCTTTTGCCAAAGATTTGTTGATCCAATTTACAAAAGCCACCTTCTCCTCATCTAAACACACATATAAATTTCTGCAGTAAGTAATGTAGGAGCGTAAACAATTAGCTGCTCAGCTGATTAGTAGACTGTTTATGATGTTTATTATAATAAATTATGGTGTTGGATTGAACGGTTAAATCACAAAGATGGACTATTAACTCTCTACAGGCCTCAGGGAAGCCTTTTCCACTATTATCTGATATTTAATAGACAAAAAATAATAATTAAACAGCTAGGAAAATCGAAGGGAAGCCTACAGTTGTTTTGTGCCACCTCAAATAAACATTATCATGCTGTTACATTAAATTATAATTCATTTAATAATCTACATTACAGCCAAAAATTCAATTTTTTTCAAGGACTTC